GTCACCACAACATGTGGCACTGTATTAAAGGGTCGAGGCATTAGGAAGGTTGAGAACCACTGCCCTACAGAATCTCTCGATAGGGAATGAGCACATCCTAATCCCTTCCACAACCACCTGGTCTTGCTGGTCCCAGCCCGGTGTGCCTGCCTGGCTCCTCCTGCAATAGATGACTGGGAAGATCCAATCCTCCAAACATGGACTGAGCTCAGAGAGGGGGCTGGGGACCATATGTTCTGTGGGACTAATATTCCTCAACCCTGCAGGGCACCCATATCCGGGCTCACTGCATACAGGACTAAGTGGATCCTAGAAGGCAGGCCACCAGGACATCCATTACAGAATGATTCCTGGACTCCTTACCTATGAATCAAGAGCCTCCAACACAGCCAACAGCAGCTCCCTGCCCAATAAGAAAAGTAGGCAGCCCTTGAACCCCATGATTGGCCCCAAACCACCTGCCTAACCCTGTGTCCAATATTGTATCTTTAGGGCTAATGTAGGGTTAGATGGTCTGACTGCTTTTGATGGCAGATAGCCTACAGCAAGCAGTTGACCTTCAAGAGTATAGTAAATGAGCACGTGCTTGCAAACAGCATTTCAAAATTGCCTTTGTTAGGGGGGACCTTCAGGGGGAGTAACTTGTACTTAGGAGAATGAGACTGGAACACGTCTCCAACTTGCAAACATGAAATTTCCCTCCTGTGTTTCTTTCTGCACTCGCTTAAATCCTAGACAAATGGCAAATGAGTTTTTGCCTTTAAAGACGGACTGAAATGTCAACTGGGGCTATAATGGAATAAGACTCTTCTTAATTGCAAGACCTTATAGTGGCTGTCATTTATTTGAACCTGCAACACAGTCACTGCTAGCAGGTTCAGTGTTCGGCTACTGGCTGCATTTTAAACTGCCATCGAGTCCACGCCCACTCAATAGTGACCCTAGAGGGCAGAGGAGAACTGCGCCTGCGCGTTTTTCAGACAGTAAACGCCTAAAAACTGATTCTATCCTCTTGCTCCCCACATTGTGAATACCCACTTGTGGACATGTAATAATTTCATGGAAGGTGCCTCTTTTCTGGCCCTTTACGTCCTCACGTATTACCAACCCATGGTGTTAGGGTGCAAGCGTCAACACTTAGGTTGTCCTTGAATTCCAGGAGCTCGGGTGATAAGAACCAGCTTCCCATCCTGGCTTTATTTCCAGTACTTTTCCAGTAATTAACCTTCCAACGACCCTGTAACGGCACAGAAACGTAGGCTCTCGTTCAGGGAAAACGCAATTTTCCCACTGAGGTCGACGTCGGCGCTCTGACCCTTTGGGCTTGCCCGGGCGTTACCGACTGGGTACCTAACAATAACAACAGGAGTCACGGGGAACGCAGAGCCGTCAGCTTCCAGCCTAGAGGTCGCTCCTCCCGGCTCGGGGGTGGACTCGGAGGGAGCCCAGAGCAGCGACGCTTGCTCCGAAGCGACACGGACCGCCCTGCGC